TTTATTTAAAAAATACTAAATACAATTAAATTTTCCAGGCAAATTTGCCTGGAATACAGTTTAAGGGATAAGATAATATTATAAAATAAAGCTATAAAATAAAACTATAATATTACAAACTATTGTACAATAATATAAATCATTATAATAATGCTATATACTACTATTTAAATCATTATTATATAATAATAATACTAAAAATAGTTATAATACTTTGCTGAAACTTGAGTTTTTTTAACAATATAATTATTGTATTAAAATAATATGATTTTAATGTTAAAATAATATAGTTTATAAAATTTATAAATATTATATAGTTTTTATATTATTTTTATATTAATATTATATAATTTATATATTATTCTTTGTATAGTTATAAGGTATTATACAACTTAATAATTTAATTTACAAAAGTATTGTTATAATATAATTATGAAATTTACTATTTATTACCACTGATGATTGTTATGTATTATATAAAACCTGGTGACTTGTATCATATAACATAATGATAGTAAAATCAAATTACAATAACAATCGTATTTTTTTTTACAGTAACTTGCAACTACTCTTAACTACTCTAATCTGACTTTTGTCTCTTATTATATTGTAGATAAATTGTAATTTGTTATTAATTTTTAACGAAATAAAAGAGCAAATATTAAACTTTTAGAGTTGCAAATCTAGTGGCCACTGTTTTTTTTTGCCTCATATCACTTTTATCATATACTATAAGTTAGTTATTAAGCGTTGTGAATTTTTAAAAAAAAAAAAATCCCAAGACACTATTTTATAACTTGCCTTAAATAATTCTTTTGTGAAAAGGTACTAAGTAGAATTTTCTCTCATTATATCTTCAATATAGTTATAGAATAGAAATGAGAAACAAGTAATATCTACCAGATTTAGAAAAAACTTTTTTGGTTCTATGAATTATGAAGTAGAAAGTTTTTCTTTTGGTATTGTTAATTCTGAATTTGGAACTATTTTGGATGTTAATAGCTTTGAGCTGTCTGGTCCTGCAAATTGTAAATTGTCTGGTCTTGCAAACTATAAGTTGCCTGGTTCTTAAAACATTGGGTTGTCTAGTTCTTTGAACTATAGGTTGTTTGGTTTGTTGAACTATAGGTTGTCTAGTTCTTTAAACTATAAATTGTTTGATTTTTTGAACTATAAGTTATCTGATTCTTTCAACTATAAGTTATCTGATTCTTTGAACTATGAAGTGTCTGGTTCTTTAAACTATGGATTGTCTGGTCCTGTGAACTATGAATTGTCTGGTCTTGTGAACTATGAATTGTCTAGTCTTGTGAACCATAAGTTGTTTGGTTTTTTGAACCATGGGTTGTCTGGTTCTTCAAACTATGAGTTATCTGAGTCTTTGAACCATGAGTTATCTAATTTTTTGAACTATAAGTTATCTAATCCTTTGAACTATAGATTGTTTGGTCCTGTAAACTATAGATTGTCTGGTCCTGTGAACTATAGATTGTTTAGTCTTGTAAACTATGAATTGTCTAGTCCTGCGAGTTATAAATTGTCTGGTTCTGTGAATATTGAGTTGTCTGATCATATGGATATTAAGTTGTCTAGTTATACAGATGTTGAGTTGTCTGGTTATATGAAGTGGAGTTGCCTAGTTCTACAAATTTGGAGTTGTCTAGTTTTATGAATTTGAAAGTACCTAGTTTTACAAATTTGGAATTGTCTGGTTCTACAAATTTGAAGTTGTCTGGTTTTACGAATTTGAAGTTGCCTGGTTCTACAAATTTGGAATTGCCTGGTTCTATAAATTTGAAGTTAAATCTTACGAATCTGGAGTTGTCTGGTTTTATGAATTCTAAGTTGCCAAGTTCTATAAATTCTAAGTTGCTTGATTCTGAGGAATTTGAAGGGAACAATAATTTGTCTGACTTTGAAAATTTGGAGATGGATAGTAATTTGTCTGTAAATACTAATGAATTAACACTATGAGTAAGGAGTTTTTTTAATAATTAGAACACTATACAAAATGCAGTTAATGTATACTCAAAACAACATAGTTTTGTAACTATTAAGTATCGTAAAGATCTTGATCCAATTGATAAATCTATTATCCAATATCATGATTATGCTTGTTGGAAATCTGGTGTAAACAAACCAAAAAAGTAGAGGATATTAGTATACATTATGATAAAGTTTCTCATAAAACAAATAGTCAATAGCTAGTTAGTTTTATCTTAGTAAACATATGAATCTTATAGCTTTAACTAACATAGCAAATAAATATAATCATATATATGATGTAGAAACTATAGAACTAGCTTCAAAGTATTTAAAATTTTTTTAAGAAATTTTAAATAAGATAGAGTATTATACTACCGTTAGCTAGTTAAATGCTAGTTAACAATATGATTTACTTGTAAAAGAATTTCTTCAACATCAAATTAAAAAAAAATCTATATAATACTATTAACAAATTTTAAGGTATAAGAGTTCATAATGAATTTGATACTACTATGATGTTATCTCTTAGATTGTAAACCAATGTAGACAAATTTGTCTGTGTTGATATTATAAATATGCTACTGATCTATTTTTTTAACAATTTAGAATATTCAAATGAAATTTGTTATAATAATATTTGAAAATATAGATTACTTTTTTATAGTATTTATTTTTAGATTATAAGAAAAAAATTTTAGATTAC